ATTGTTTAGGTGATCGTTTGTCCATTTTGTTCAATTATCCAGTCGATTTGTTTCAAAGACAATCACAGGTGAAAATGTTCACTTTAAATGCTTCAGAATACCTTCGATACCAACAAGTGAATCTCTGACAGCCCCAGCCGTTGGATGATCACATATTATCATCTTATCAGGGTTTTTCCTTGCCAAGGATCTGGGAGGTGGACTACACATGACTTGCAACAGAGGAAAACGTGTCAGTGACTCATTGTTTGATGGCTGTTATTGGATCACTTATGTAGACGTTGATGAGTTTTATAGATCGTGCCGTTGATTGATCACAAGAGAAAGGAGGCTGATTATATAAATTCTCACTGGTAGAACACAAAGTTGTTAATGTTGACCTCGCAGTCATTTAGATGTTACCGACTAAATCTGAGGATTTTTGTTAAAGAGCAGCGGAGAACTTGAGAAGTTAATGTGCTGTGTTAACCTAATCTGCCACTTGTAGTCACGTTATTTTGAAGTAACGTTTTTGGCAACGACATTGTTTTTTTTTTTCTTTTGTAATTTTTGTTCTATACAACACTAGAGAGGACATTAAATCAAACAAATAATTTTAATTTGCAGGATTTAGCCAAAGTTTTGCATTACATACATTTTTCATTTCTATACAGTCCCTATCTTCAGAGACTTCAAGATAACTGGACAAACTAACATATATGCTTTCTAAATATAAGGATTGTTTTTTTTAAATACTTGGATTCAATGACTGGACTTCACCAAATGCCGTGTCTCCTCCCTTGAGATGCTCTGCCGGGCCTTTGTTTCAGCCACGTTCAGCTGCTGCTTGTTTGTGGGTGTCTCTTCCTTCAGTTTTGTCTTCAGTGGCTGAAAAGCTGCTCTGCTGGGCTGAGATCAGGTGACCGACTTAGCCATTGACGGATATCCCATTTCTTTGCCGTGAGAAACTCTTGGGTTGCTTTTGCAGTTTTGCAGCATTTGGCTGAATCTGAGCCGAGAGTATCGGCAGTCACATCATTATTAAACACTCGTGAGTCGGTTCCACTGACAGCGATGTCGTAACTTTGGCTCCACCGCGTTTGACAGATTATGTTGTAGGCTTCAGATCATGAGCTGCCGCATTTTTCTCTCTCTAATATTCTGGTACAAGTTAATCTTGGTTTCAGGTTTTCAAAGAATGTTTTTCAGAGCTGCACTGGCTCTTTTAAGTGCTTTCTGGCAAAGTCTAATCTGGCCTTTCTGTCCTTGAGCATAACCAGTGTTTATGTGCATTTGTTGCGAACCTTCTTGTAGATTTTTTAAAAATTGCTTAATTTGTCAGGACATGTGAGCTAAGAAATTACACCGCATCCCACAAGATGAATCGCCTGTGCAGGAGTGACTGAAGTTGCCAAACATCACTTCCTATAAAGGTTCAATGCCTGCAGGTCTGTTAACTGCATTAAGAATGAGGTACAAGATAAAAGATGCAAGATGGTGTGTGTGACAGGTTGTAGAGGTCCCAGGTTGTTTGACAGAGTATTACAATGCTTTTGATAACAGCAGAGAGACAGCTGGCAATGTGCTTTATGGTCTTGGCATTTACCCAGAATGCTCAAACTGCGACTTTACGGCTCGACAGATGCCACTGCTGGTTGGCGAGACAGTTATCCAGTCAGTCTGTTTCAGTGGCAATCTGATGACTTTTCACGGGTCCAAATGTCCACTGCAAATGCTTCAGGATGCCTATGATACCAGTGACTGAATCCCTAACAGTCCCAGCTGTTATGTGCTAATAGTATGTTAGCAGGCCAAATATTCTTTTTATTTTGGTCACATAATATTATCTTTTTTGTTTTTTTTCCCCTAGCCGAGCAGCAAAAACAGTCCACATACAGTAAAAGCAACAAGTCTGTGCATTTTCCTCTTATTCCTCATCATTTCATTAGCAACATTTCTATGAAACCCAAATTATTAACAAATTATTCTATTACAGCCTGGCCAGAGGTTTGTTTTTATTGTTGCTGTTGTTTTTTCATTACTTGTGATTAGAACATTATTGGAACATCTCTTAATATCCTGCTGATTTTAGTGTTCCTTCGAATCCTTTGTGTTTTATTAATGCAGTGACTCTGCTGGTGTTAAGTGACCTGCTCTTTTAAAAGCGTACTTTCTGGAAGTCTGTACCCAGGCTCTTTACTGCTGGAAGAACAATGTGATTATGGAGTAACAGGCAGCTTAAATAGAATTTTCTCCTCATGTGATCCAGAAAAAAACAGCCACATGTTGTGTTTCTAAAGCAACAGAAATCAGGCTTTTCAATATCCATCTGTGGAGGCTGTGTTTTAAAATGCTGATTAAAATGCAGTTTCAAATATGAGGAACTTTTTCAGAACATTTTCTTTTATTAAGATTACTTAGTGTTTATCAGATGAAAAAAAAAGGCCACTGGGTTTGTGTATCAAATAAAAGGCTCTTGCATTAAGCCTTTTATGTCTGCAGACAGTGATGACTCGAAAGCATTAGCATCCTCCTTGAATTGCCTTTCATGTCTTAATAATACGACCTTCATCTCAGCCAGTTGGGATAGTGTTTCACTTTTTCACTGAAGATAAAGTTTTATTCTCCCATGTGAGGAGGAGGATGAGGATGGAAGGTGACTCTAAAATGGCCTGTAGCTTCTTCTTTAGG